AAGCTTCCGGATAGTTGTAGTGCTATGTGGCGAAACCTTGGAAGCTTCTGGAGAGTTGCAGCGCTATGTGGGGATTTCTTGGAAGCTTCCGGAGAGTTGCAGCGCTATGTCGGGATTTCTTGGAAGCTTCCGGAGAGTTGCAGTGCTATGTGGCGATACCTTGGACGCTTCCAGAGAGTTGCAGCGCTATGTGGGGATACCTTGGACTTATCCGTCGACCTGAGACTGCGCACGTAGCGGCAGCTTGAAACCTTCGCCACCTTGACACCCTGCGGCTGCTCTCTGGCGGCAGCTTGAAACCTTCGCCACCTTGACACCCTGCGGCTGCTCCCTGGCGGCAGCTTGAAACCTTCGCCACCTTGACACCCTGCGGCTGCTCTCTGGCGGCAGCTTGAAACCTTCGCCACCTTGACACCCTGCGGCTGCTCTCTGGCGGCAGCTTGAAACCTTCGCCACCTTGACACCCTGCGGCTGCTCTCTGGCGGCAGCTTGAAACCTTCGCCACCTTGACACCCTGCGGCTGCTCTCTGGCGGCAGCTTGAAACCTTCGCTCGCTTGACACCCTGCGGCTGCTCTCTGGCGGCAGCTTGAAACCTTCGCTCGCTTGACACCCTGTGGCTGCTCTCTGGCGGCAGGTCCCTGGAGGCTGCCATCACGCCCAACTCACAGCTGCTGCTCAAGAAGGGCCGCCGTCTCACAGAACAAACCCTGGACTCGTGCCAGCTCAGGCGTGTTGCAAGTGTAAGTTACTCTCTCTTTGCAGGCTCTCTGCGCTGCTATATGCAGCAATGCGCACACCTATATTGTCTCACAAAATTGCAAGACGGAAGTTCCCTCTCCGTGTCCTTGGCTAGTGCTCCCTGAGAGTCGTATTGGCGGTAAGCCCTCAGACGGTCCTCCATCTCCGTGTCCTTGGCTAGAACACCCTACCAGTCGTATTGGCGGTAAACCCTCGGACGGTCCTCCATCTCCGTGTCCTGGCTAGTGCTCCCTGAGAGTCGTACTGGCGATAAACCCTCAGACGGTCCTCCTCCGTGTCCTTGGCTAGAACACCCTACCAGTCGTATTGGCGGTAAACCCTCGGACGGTCCTCCATCTCCGTGTCATGGCTAGAACTCCCTGACAGTGGTATTGGCGATAAACCCTCAGACGGTCCTCCATCTCCGTGTCATGGCTAGACCACCCTGAGCGTCGTATTGGCGGTAAACCCTTGAACTGTCTTTCTCATCTCTTAACATTGGCTATAGACTCCGAGCCTTCCGTGTCATTTTAAATCCCAAATCGCCATGTTCTTTGTGACGGATCCTGACGGGACCCCCTGTCTCAGGCGGAGCGTCGCCTGGATGTCAAGTATTTGACTACGCACTTGAAGAAATGGGAGATTATCGACAAGCACATCGATCTCAATACGTGCATGCAGCTGCTCCTGTTTGCCAAGCACAACGAATACGAGGTACCCACCGTGTATCTGATTCCCATTCGTGCCTCGCAGCGCACCCCATAGCACTCCTCGTGCAAAGTATGCAAAACGTGCAGCTCTGAGTGGGGTCCCCACCGCGACCTTCATCCAGAGGATGCCGGACCTCGAGTTTCTGCCAATTCTCGCCTTTTCGCTTTCATATGATTTTGACCAAACTGCTACTTGGCTGTTTCAACACCCAACTGGAGGGTGCGCCTACGCCACCACACAATGGGTTCTCTCATCTGCGCGGCCGTGTCCAAGAGCCTTCCTCCGTGCAAGCTGCAGGTGACAAAGATGGAGCTGAAGAAGCATCCTCTGGAGGTGAACTATGACGAGTTTGAGCGCCTGCTGCTGGCCATTGCGTACCACATGTACAAGGCCCAGCAACGAGACGAACCCTTTGAGGAATATCTGGGAGAGTTGTTGGACGATATCTACAAGAAAGCTGGGGTTCTTGTAGAGATTAGAAAGGTGAGGTGGCGTTCTTTTATCCTTTTCGTTTAGAGATTAGAAAGGTGAGGTGGCGTTCTTTTATCCTTTTCGTTTAGAGATTAGGAAGGTGAGATGGCGTTCTTTTATCCTTTTTTTAGAGATTAGAAAGGTGAGGTGGCGTTCTTTGCCCTTTTCGTTTAGGGATTAGAAAGGTGAGGTGGCGTTCTTTTATCCTTTTCATGTAGAGATTAGAAAGGTGAGGTGGCGTTCTTTTGCCCTTTTCGTTTAGGGATTAGAAAGGTGAGGTGGCGTTTTTTTACCCTTTCCTTTATGCTTAGGGCACTTCATGACTGTATGCATGGGACTCGGCATGACCTTCAAAGGTTTAGCCATCAACTATAGCATCAGTGGCCCTCACCTAGTCCAAGATAATTTTGGAGTAGAGCATATCATACGCAAATACTTCAAATGCTTCAAATGCTTGCGGTATTGCGGTATTGGTTTGCTTTTGAGAAATGTGCAATGATTTACTTTGAAGACTCTTCTCCTTAGCCTGTCAAGCAAGTCACTGATGATATGCGCACAGCGTGCTCTTGGAAGCTTATGCGCTGACTGTGTTTATCCTGGTCCTTCCTGCATTCACAGTAACCAATGTTTTTATAGCGCGTTTTTCCTTGAATGCGCCGGCGGTTGGGTGTGGGCACTAACGCGCGCCATTTTGCAACAGTGACCTCCTGGAATCCAACAGCGGAGAAGTGCTCAGATTACACATCTGATCGTTGTGAACGAGGGATATTTTACTATAAGGGATACTTTACAATATGGCGTGGAGTGCCTCAAGATCAGCCAAACAGGACTTCTCTCTCTCAACGGCAGGAACTGCGAGTTTTACAGCTGGCCTCCCAATTATTCTTATTGAGGCATGGCCAGAGCACCAATTGATGCCTTGTCTACACAGCTTCAGCAGCAGAGCAGTACAAAGGTTTGAGACCTCGAATGCCAAATTAAGCAAAATGCAATCGATGCCGTTGATAAAGGAATACCCAAAATTTGGGGATATTCTTTGAAAAATGACTATGTGAGAAGTATTATGCATGGCAATGTTACGTAGGTGCGACATTTTGTTTGGGGTCAATCAAACAGCAACTTAGATAACATCAACAATTGATAACTATCTGCTCGGCTGTGAAAGCTGCACGTCCACGAACATAGCCATCAAGCTTGCACCTTTGGGGGCCATCTCGTCAGAGCTGAGCTTAGTAGTACCAATGGTGTGCCTGGGTCAGATCCAGCCTCCTTCTCGGACTTAGCACTGTTTGTCATGAACATCTGATTCTGCTAGTTGTCCTTGACGCCACACATGTTTTCAGGGAAGCCTGACAGGCAGGGAGATGATGGGGGCGACACTAATGGAGGGTCTCTGGGACGTGGTCCAAGTCGCGGTGTGGGGAATTTCCTGCGGATTGTATCCGCTAGAATTGTCACCCATCTCCCACGCAAACCTGGCCCGCTCGCCTCAGCGTGGGGGGTCATCTTCTGTCCAGTCACTTCAGGGGCGATCACGTTGTTGGCGGGAACATGTCGTCGTCTAAGTTTTGGAGCCCATCAAGCGCTGCCGCTTTACTGGTGGCGTGGGGTAAGACAGCCGCTGCAGCACAGGCACAACACCATCCTTACCCCTACCCACAGAAGGGTATCCATCCTTGGACTTGATAAGTAGCTTGTGTAATTCGCGAATCCTTCTCAGATGATGGAGAGTGCAGTAGCATAAATCTGTATTCTCTTCAGCCGGACGCTGCGGGCGTAATTGAATCAGCAGGCGCAGCTGAGGCACCTGGTAGCGTTGATGACAACGGTGGCACTGGAGCAGCTCTAGTAGAAGGCGTTGGCCCCGCGCAGCGAGGACCAAAATACCTCACGCGCCGCGGTGGGCCATCATGCGAAATATACTTTTGGTGTTTCTGCATCGAATGACACCCTTTTTGCTGTGCGTTGCTAACCTCGCCCTCCGCCCCATCTCCTCAGCCTCCGAGAGGGAGTCTGGTGGAGAAGGCGAAGCTCTAATCTTAGGGTCAAAGTCTTGGAGCTGCTCTGCGGATGACACAGAAATATCTGGCGGATCTTGTGTGCCTGCCTGCACTGACTGGCTTATTCGCTATCTTAAGCGATTAAGCTAGCATCCTCGCGATCAGCTCCTGCGTCAGTGATTGCTCCCTCACAATCTGCTGCGGCTCCACTGGCACCATTATTCATCCATTTATAGTCACGACCACCCTTCAGAGCACAAGGCGACCTGCTTATGCATTCGCCCGGTAACTTATTTGCACCATACCAAAGCTCTTCGATCAACATCAGAGCATTAATATCGATCAACATTAGACGATGGCCAAGAACATCTATTTGACCATAACGAAAATAAGTGTAATTCAATTTGGATTAAGGAGAGAGACCATACATTGTCCATACTTCTGCACAAATTGCAACCCAAGTCATGTTGTCAAGGAGGTCAAGTGTGTGCAAATAAGATAATACAAGTCATCTCCTTATATTCAACTTAACTATTCGTCGGTTCAAGCGGACTTGCTAACTTTATTATTTTCTTGCCAGGCCTTCAGGGTCGCCTAGCATCGTATATGTATAAACAAGTACGTCATGATAACTAAGGTCCCACTTACACTTCTTTGGCAAACAGGTTATGCTGGTTAAATTACATTATTTACATATTAAACTATCTACAACTTCGCGTAAGCTTGGGAGAACCTCCAGGGGCCTAACACGTAGCAATCTATTTATTTACAAGTATTGTGCGGATCTTCGATGTTCAGTGAGTGGCAGCGACCTGTAAAAACTATGATAACATCAGCACTTGTTGTGATTTTCGCCGTTTGATTAAAAGGCAGGCAATACAGTTAGTAAAACAGGAAGAATAAAGAACGCATCGGAGGTGTCGCAGTGTGCATCGGTTTTAGACCTTCAATAAAGAAGAACCGAAGACCACCTGCGGAGTTGGCTCTACGGCGAACGGAGACGAAAACAGAGTGTCTGGGTATAACCAACCTTCGTTAGAAAGCGGTACCCAAAACACCTGCTGGTTCAGTTTACGGTTTGCACCCACCAGGAATTGAACCTGGGACCTCTAAGACTAAAAGTCTTAGTGCTCTTGCCGCTGAGCTACGGATACGTTTTCACTGTCATACATACTCCATCTCTTCGAACTGGGAAGCTCGATCAGGAGGGTGACAGGGGGAGAACGCGGGACAGAGATCTGTGAACAGACCTTCTCAACCGCAGCTCCTACGCATCACGCTCACCTCCAGCGTTCTTTCAACGCATACTAGTTAGAACATACCTTATTCGTCGATCGGAGATAACGAAGGCCCAACAACGGTGAGGCGTGGTAGTCCGCGGACTTTGCTTCTAACGTGCTTCACAACGGCGCCGTTCCTAACTTTCATTGTCTGGGACTTTTCGGACAGTGATCTCCGGCGTGCATCCTCTGCAACTTTACGCTGAAGGTCAAGGGTTCTTTGTGGGGCAAACGCAAGAGCTAGCTGCATACACTTTCTCCGCTCTTCCTCAGTCAGGGCTCCACTCTTGATGCGGTCTTTTATGGAGCGGGCAAAAGCTTCTGCGGCCGCAACGTCAAGGCCAGACGTCGAACAGGAAGGCGATGAGTATACGCGTTGCTCTTGTGTCGAGGGAAACTCAGCAAATTTCTGGGCCGGAAACTGGAATGGCTTTGCAAAGGGATTCAGTGACATCTTTCTTTCGGATCTGTTTGGTGGTCGGCTGTCAGGATTGGAAGTGAAAAAATAGATTAATGAAGTGGGAAAGGCTGCGGTGCTTGATGCTATATTTTGGAACAGCTGCGACTATAGGTGGTGATCTGATGACGGACAGCTCAAGGTTCTCGAAGCTTGGAGAGAGTTCTGGAAGCTCTCGTTTGAACGTCGGATGCATTTGCTGGCGGCGATGCTGCATTTCGATATCATATCGAACGGCAAGCACCATACGGCGGCACACGATGGCAAACCGGTGCAGTGCAGCAGTTCTCCGCGGCGGAGCGCGAGCGTCAGCGACAACGTGACACGCAATTGGATATTTTCCATCGATTTTTCACATTTTTGATTTGTATCGATCGTGCCACCGTGTTCTGTGCCACCTCATGACCTAAAGTATGGTAGAGCTGCCCAACTTAAACTGGTCCGTTTATTTTTAACAGTGGCAATTTTCCGAATCCGACAGTCCATATACGATTCCAGAGATCAAAATACGATACATTCCTTTGTTGCTCCCCAGGAATCTCTTCGGACCTTCCGATGTTCCCGATCTGAAAACATTGGACGGCTCAACTTTAGTTGGGCACCCCTAAAGTATGGCCGTCTGTCCTCAGTAATTCAGCCGGAATCGTCCTTAACACTGTATCGCGCGTCAAAACATGTGACTTTCGCGCGCTGTAAGCTTTTCCGATCTACCGATTAGAGTCACGTGTGGTTCTCGAGTCATTTCATTAACAAATGCATATCTAAAACTGAAACCGTTAAATGCTATGCGATTTTTTCCTATTTATAATTTCGAAAATCTGAGCACACCACGTGGAAGCCCGCGGAGAGCTAGCTGCATTAAAGTTACTTGCTCGAAATCTCGATTTGGGCAAGGACTTCGTACTTAGCCGTTACAGTGCCGTTACTGCTCTAAATTTAGATTCCGAGCAAGAAACTTTATCCACACAATCACAGAAACGGCAACTGTAGTAGATAACTCTGGGGACACAGATCGGGCCACGCCTTATTATTTAGTACTATTTCTTTTTTTCGGGGAGGCAGTGCTGGGGGGAGGGGGGCTGAGTGGGGGGCTGAGAGGGGGGTGTGAGGTGGGGGGGGCTAACCCCGAACCCCCCTTCCCCCAACACTCCCCCTCCCCATTGCCCCCCATCGAAAAATAATTGATAAATAATAATAAAAGTCATGTATCCCAGTTATTCACGGCCGTGAATTCTAGATTCACGGCCGTGAATCTTTCCGAATGGAACCAAAAACCGTTCGATTAAAATCGAACGGTTTGCTGAAATCTGTATAGGCAGCCCTGGCCGGGAGTCCCGGTCAGGCCCCTATGACAGACTCCTAGGACCAACACTGGACTGCTGACTGATCTATAGGTTTGTGCTGTCACAGGTAGGCTAGACTCCGAAACCGTCCGAGACCGTTCCGGGTATATCTAGCTTAGGGTTTATTTATCTTGAGAGTTTATCCACACAGTTCGGGAGTTTCTGATATCTAGTGAACCGCTAGGATATTCCAGTAGGTTATGGGCCCACCACGCGGGACAGGGACAGTGACATCGACGCCTCAATGAGGCTATTAGACGGGGCTCGGAACAGTCCGACGGTGCGTACGCCAACTGTTCCGACCCCCGCTCCGACTTCCAACGAGGATGCAGACGTGGCGACCAAGAAGTACTTACAGGAGCAGAGCAAGCTGGTTGACGACATCCACAAAGCGCGTCTACTGTACACCGCCAATGGGTCAAGGGTGTCCGCGAGGATGTCGAGCCGTCGCAAAAAGTTCGAGTGTCACAAAGTGGTCACATGCATAATGCAACATTTGCAACTTTTTGGAGTTGTGTGACCTTTTAAGGTCAATTGTAAGACTCGGAGTGAAAAAAAAATTTCAAAAAAAATATTTTCCGGCTCGCCGGCGGCCAAAATCGATGGTTTTTGGCCTGAAAAGGCCATTTTGAGTGCGCGGGTGCTAGAGGATTTCCCGTCGGTGTCCGAATCGCGTGTTTGAACTTCGTGGGACCTTCCAAGGACCATCACGGGTCACTTAGTGGAAGAAATGATGAGAAATTTTTGTTTGGGGTGCTCGCCGGGGGCCAAAATGGTCGTTTCTGGGGCCTGAGCGGGCCATTTTGCGTGCGCGGGGCTAGAGGATTTCAGTTAGGTATCCGAATCGCGCGTTTGAAGTTCGTGGGACCTTTCAAGGACCATCACGAACTACTTAGTGGAAGAAATGATGAGAAATTTTAATTTGGGTGCTCGCCGGGGGCCAAAATGGCCGTTTCTGGGGCCTGAGCGGGCCATTTTGCGTGCGCGGGGCTATAGGATTTCAGTTAGGTATCCGAATCGCGCGTTTGAAGTTCGTGGGACCTTTCAAGGACCATCACGAACTACTTAGTGGAATAAATTATGAGAAATTTTAATTTGGGTGCTCGCCGGGGGCCAAAATGGCCGTTTCTGGGGCCTGAGCTGGCCATTTTGCGTGCGCGGGGCTATAGGATTTCAGTTAGGTATCCGAATCGCGCGTTTGAACTTTGTGGGACCTTTCAAGGACCATCACGAACTACTT